ATGACCCCGGTATTTTGGGTTGGTAATCCAGAAATAGGCGCTGGTAGCCGGTCTGTTTTGTAATATAAATTTTGGACGTCGAAGTGAGAACTTTTGAATTCCGACAGCATACGACAGAAGTGTCATACCTGTCATATATTTCGGGAATAGGCGGGTTGTATCGCCATTACTGCTGTGAAAAATCAAATCGATACACTGAGTTGAGTTTCCGGCCAAATCTGTGGCATTCACTTTCCCTTAATACCCTTCGGAAAGGTATGAATCTATCACTGAAATAACAGGGTAGACAAGCTTATTATTCCTAGTTAGCCACCAGTCTAGTAGACAGACGACTGTGAATTTCAAATCATGGAGATGACCAGGTGGTACTACACAACTACTTGTCCCAGGGCATTTAAAACTATCTTACAACTTTCAGTGATTGTCAAATGTTAGCAAGTGCGCACATTATACTAAAACTATGAACAGAGTTTCAATGAGGATCGTGTGTAAACTAGGAGGAACTACTCAGCTACTCTTGCCTATATGGAGAGTAATGATTACTTAAGAAGGTACGGTGGAGTAATGGATAGCAGCTCGGATTGAGGAATCAGAGAGCCGAGTTCAAATTCCAGTCGGATCCATTACATGCTAATACCCTTGGGAAAGGTATGAATCATCTTCTCCCAGCTATGGGTAAATGTCATGAAAAACTTGGTTCTATAACCTTGGGTGGCAACGAGTCTAAGAGAAGGAAAAACTCTGGATTCAAAACTGGCTTAGAGAGGGTTGGGCTCCGTCAGGTTATCTTGACAAAGAAACACCATTTCTACTGTGGTTGCAGGTCACGGGATAAAAAAATGGTTGCTTACGTACTGTAGTCATATGGTACTTACAAATGTTTTGCAGCTTTCAGTGAATGTCAAACGATAGCAAGTATGTTCATTATAGTAACACTATACTCCAAGTTTAAATGTTGATCGTGTTTAAAGAACTTCTTGTCTTTTCCAGATTTACAATTTTGGCTTTTATCCCTGGTTAGCCACGTGACCAGTAGTAAACAACTTAGAATTTCAAAACCTTGAGAAGACAAGTCCGAACGACTCAACTAAGCTTTCCCAAGAACAGCCTTAGCAATAGACTACTTAGATATTTAAAAAAAATGTAATCTGTGCAGAGCCAGGATTGCTTAAGTACTGTATTCACAAGGCATTTAAAAAATATCTTGCATCTTTCAATGAATTGTCAAACTGATTGCAATTATACACATTATCCTAACACTAGTTTTAATGAGGATCATTGTTTAAACAACTCCAGATTTCCAATTTCATCGGGATGTTCGGGTCCATTCGAAGCGGTCCACTAATTATTGGCACAATAGCCCCTTTCTATAAGGATGTAGATGTATCGACTTAATGTTAACATGAGACGTGAATATTTATCAATAACAGGCTTTGCCCGCTCGCTATCGCTTCGCAAATAAGATATATTCACAACTTGAAATCTTTGAAACAAAAATTTTAAGTGAACATTTCATTCATAAATTAGCTTGTTATAGTTAAAGAAAGTTTTACAAAGAGATACCAATTTGTTGAAGGCCAAGTAAAATGCAAATTTCAAACACTTTTCTGTACTATATAAGACAATATTCCTAAACAGAACTCTTTTTGATATGAAAATCTAAACAATCCTCCAATAAAAGAACAGTAATGAAGAACAGTTAATTAATGAAATAAACTTTTTTTTAAAAATCAATATGCAAATTAGTTAAACCTGAAGAGTGATATTGCCTAGAAGTAGATAATATATAGTATAGATATTGAGCTTGGAGCGTGTAGATTATAATAATTTATACACATTACTTATCATCTCTCAGTTGCGCTTATGGGCGGCTCCGTCAAGGGACAGAATCGCAACTGAGGAAAATTATACTGAGAGGTGCCTGGGGAACAGCTGCCCGAGGCCGTGCCTTCTCATTGCACTAGAGAGAAGGATCGGTGCACGCACCGAGGCCAGCGCAACCGATAGTTGCGTGGGCTGAGTGTACGCGCTCGGATCCCCACATAAATCCGACCTTGTGCCACATCTCATTCTCGTGGGGGGAATGAGTAAACATCGCGTAAATTACTCTAAGTAATTTATGCACATCATCTCTCAGTTGCGTCCCTGTCCTTGGACAGAGTGCGCTCAGGGGCTTCTCTGTCAAAGGACAGAGGGACAACTGAGGAAAATTATACTGAAGAGGTACCCAGCCGCGCCTTCTCATTGCACTAGAGAGAAGGATCGGTGCTCCGGAAATTTTGTTCCTTGCCCGGGTGCACGCGTTCGTGCTCCCCACATTAAAACGACCTTGTGTCACAACCTGACCTCGTAGGGGGTCAAGTAAATGCCGCGTAAATTGCTATAAAGTAGAGTTGGGGCTTTTTAAAAATCTAAGAATTCATGGTATAGGTTTTAATTAATTACCTATTATGTTTGTTAACTCTTCAAATGTTGAATGTATAACTAATTCTAATTTCTGTTTTCCTGTCCTTACAGCATATTAATTTTATCTTATAAACTTTCCTCAGGTCTGTCACCCATGAAATAAAAATAATTCTTTTTACGTAAATGAAATTGTCTTTAAATTAAGTGGCAGCAGAAGAATTATCATTGAACTTTTAAAAGCTAAGCTTAAACATTAATTCAATTCTTAAATGCAGCGATCAATTTTGAGTTCTGTAGTTTATTGATGTCTATCGCATCTACTCCGCCCTAGCTATTTTGATGATGGTCAAACCAGGATTCCTCCATAGGAGCTAGCTTAAATGCTGCCCTACAGGGCAGCTTTTAAGCTAGTTTTTAATAAATCGCGCACTGCAATTTTGGATACAGAAGGAAAATAAGAGTTACTCCCCTTGAACCATGAAAGCAACATTAATGGCTAGTATGAGTTATTAATATATATTTTTAACTTTGCATAATCCGGCAACCTTGAAACTGAGCTCAACTAAAATCGTTCCCTGCGTCTAAGTTTTTTTAGGGCTTTTGAATGAGCAACGAATCATTGAAATCGGACGAGTGGGAGCGGAGGAATTGCTTGGACACATACAGACACAAGCTTGTTTTATTTAATTTCAGACTATTTTTTCATATTCTTACCTTATATATATATATATATATATATATATATTATAATTATGTCAAAACTTTTCGGCTATTGCTCCTTACAGGCTTCTTTACGTGTTTTGTAATTTCTTTTTACGGTTCACCATGTACAAAGCGCGGGGGATACTCGATGTAGAATGCTCCATTAAGGGGGTAGTTTATATAAATAAGAAGGGAAGATAACGGTTTACTCTATACTAAGATAAGGTTAAGGTTGTAGTGATCAGGGGAAACATCCTTTTGGGAGTCTCTTCCACAGAGATTCTTCTCACTTTAGCGATTCACGAAAAGAAGCTGGAACTTATTTCTCACCGATGGAATACGGAGGCATTGTGGATGGTTTGCTACTATATAAGCAGCATGGCGGGTCCTAGCCGTGAAAGTCGAACCTGACGGGACCAAAGAATGTAGTTCATCTGAGCACTTTTCATGATAGTAGCATCAGATCAGTGAGAGACATCGCGCCTGTGAGACAGAGTTTGTGAGGGTAGTCATCTTCAGAGAATTTCGAACTGAACCTCTAATTTAATCTACGGGGGTAGATTGTTCTCGTTCCACTGTCTCGGGATGTCCCGTCTAATTCTCGTTTTAGTACTGTTCATTTATTTCTCGCCCTGTTTCCACTGAATCCAAGGACACATAGCTTGACTCAGGAAATAAACTCACAATTACTATGTCACCAAATTCGCGAACCAAATGCTGTGCGCCAACGGGAGATTAAATAACGTTTTCAGCTCGAAATTCTCTGAAATTTACTCGGTTTACCCGAAGAAGGCTGTGGGAAGCAACGGCCGATATGTTTTGATAATAACAACAAAGATGAGGAAAAATAGTCCAAATGTGGAGAATGCAAATAAAACAGGCGTAGAAGTATTGGATAATCAGGTTTTTGGGGGATTTTTTAAGCATTCAAACCCAAGCAAGGCGGGAAGCCACTAGCACGCAAGGGTTTACAGAGAGTTGGAGCGATAACAAAGAGGAGTGATAGAGGAAAGGATGAAGGGAAGGATAGGGGATAGATCAGGGCATCTGGAGACGTCGATTGACGTTACATTTGAATAGTTGGAGATATCAGGAAAACAATGGGGAGAGAGTTCCACAGGCGAGAAGTGCGAGATATCGTGGCTGGTGTGTTCCCCATCGGAGCCAAAACCTATTGTTCAGATAGATAAAAGCAGTGATTTCAAATCTAGATTTTCTAGTCACTTGCCAGGTTTCGGTTCTAGTTAATTTGTGCTGTATCTTGAGTAAATATAAGGAAAACGTAATTTGTTGTTTGATAAAATCAGTCGAGAGTCGAAAGCCAAAAGAAGTGCTGAAAGAAAGAAAAGAATAGAAAGAGTAAAGAATATATCTTAATGCAGTCGCTTATTTATTCAAAGACTTTAACTCGCTTAATTATACGAAGAAGAAAGCAGTTGTAAAATCACGCTGAATTGGCTTTTGATAGCAAAAACTGTTGAGGTATTTTTTTTCTTTTAAGATATTAATTTTCCAAATTTTCCGAATGCATATGGAATAAATTCTCTATTATTTATGCGCCCGAGTATCGATTGAGTAAAATCGAGACGTTGGAAAGTTTCAATTATAACCTTATAGAAAAATGGTTATTTCACTCGTAGATCATGGTACAAATGATCTATTGTGAACGGACTCCATAATTAAGTTAAGCTGAGTAAATATAGGCTTGTCTAGTGGCTGAAATAGATACATATTTTCCTACAGTGCCTGGCGAAAGGGTATCAAACCAAGTCAAAATTAGGATTTCGAATACAGAATCCTAAGAGCTTGGAAGGAACCATCAACCAGAATAATACAATAAAAAAGTTTTATATAACTTACAAGTATTTATTTCTTCATATAAAAATGTAAGTATGTATGTATATAACTGTATCTATCTATCTATCTATCTATCTATCTATCTATCTATCTATCTACTTGTAAGGAATGTACATTTCTAAAGAATTAATAATAATTATTATTGTTATTCACAACATGACATTCGAGAAACAGAAGAGAAAAAATCAAAGATCATGCAGTATTTCATATTTCATATCGGTGTATATATATATATATATATATATATATATATATATAGAGAGAGAGAGAGAGAGAGATAGAGATAGATAAATAGATAGAAAGATAGATAGATAATATTAGTGGTAAATATACCCATACTTATGCAAAATATATAAATATATATACATACATGCATACACATGCATATATATTTTTTGTATAAAATGGAATAAATTATGACCATGGAATATTAGTGTTTAAGTCTTTTTATTAATTATTTAAGACCTTTTTTATGTTTATACTTAACACATTATAAAAAGAACGTATAAACATAAAAAAATGTTTTAAATAATTGTCGGACTTTGTCAATTTCATATTGTATGACGTCATTTGTTTACATTTGGATACGCATTGAGCAGATATGAATGAATGAGAGAAAATCATGGAGAATTGTGTTTAAAAACAGTAAAATCGACCTTGCTCCTCTGTGGTTCAAATCGTTAAAGACACGTCAGGCTATATAGCGGTTCCGTATAGGATACAGGTTCGATTCCTGTCGGAGGATGCCTATTTTCTATGAAAGTTTCTCGGACATTCAGGCCGGTAAATGTTGTTAATACTGCTTATATAAACAGACCATTTACCTAATAATATTTGTAGCTATAAAAAAAACGTATAAACATAAAAAATGTCTTACATATATAATTGTATATATACATTTATATGCGTATGCATATATATATATATATATATATATATATATATATATATGCATATGTGTATATGTATATATATTTATATGGGTATATATATATTTGGTTGTCGTCGGCATCCGCCCGTCTCGAGAGCCTGGACGGGATATATGGAGAACTAGGGCTGCCCAGACGTCTAGTTCCCCCTCTCGGCCTTGCTAGCAGAGTCCAAAGGAGATGATAAACCAATACAGTTTGGTACCAGCGCGGCTGCAGGAGTTGCCGGAAGGTAGCACAAAGTGCCGTCCATCCGCCTTAGGGGCTCCACTCCGGGTTTGAATTCAGAGTTGTCCTTCTCCTAGACCAGTTGCCATCCAAGGCTATAGAACCCAGTCTGTCCTGCGATGGTGAAATCCATAAATCCCAAATCGAACTACTTTTAAAACATTAGTAAACGTATCTCAAAAGATTATCGAGTGCAGACTTTCAAGAAATTCTTCGTCTAAAGAAATCTTTGAATCCAAGAAAAATATGAGTATAAAACAATATTGAAAAAGAGGGGGGATACAACAGAAATTGAATTTTAATCCTCAACTGAACCAGCAATTGCGGAATAGGATTGGAAAAAGAGATAAATCTAGTTTAAGCCCCCTTTTAATTTAGAAGTATGAACTAGTATAGGGAAAATATTTTTTAAGCTGCTTACAAAGAATTTCCCCAAAACGTCTGGATCGAGAACCTCCAGGGACGGCGATTCCGCGTAGGGCCAGATTGCACTCCCTGTCACTTAGCTGGCGAAGGCAGGGCTCCAGTGCAAAAGCGTAAATTAGCGGCAACAGCGGGCAACAATGTCGGTCCGATTGTGATAACACAAAAGCGCGCGACCGCTTTCCGTTCACCTGTACCACAGCACAGGGGGAACGATACAGGAGAATGATCCACTTGTAGAAAGCAGCTAAGTACCTAGTCTAACCCCTTGGACTGATATAAATTGATCAGCGCGGCTTGATCGTCGTCTTTTACGCCCTCTAGGAGCGTTCGGATCATATGCATGTTTCTTTGAATTGTTCGTCCCTTCACAGCACAAGTTTACTCGAGTCCAAACAAGCTTTCGAGAACTGACTGCAAATGTATCGTCAGGATCTGTGCCAAAATCTTTAACTTTGTGCTTCGGAGAATTATGGGCTTATAGTCATCTAAATCCTATCCACTACCTTCTCTCTTTTTCAACAGCGTGATCACATCCGTGGAAATCCGGTCGGAGACGGACCCTGCAGGGACCAGTTGCGAAAGCCTCAAGTATAACTCGTAGGGCAGATCATCAAGGCCCGGAGACTTGCCACTGCCGACCATCTTCAATGCCAAGTGAAGTTCGCGCTCTGTGATCTCACCCTCACATCTAACGGATTCATTCGGCTCAAGTCGAGGAAAGCCAGCCCGATAGCTTCGAAAGTCGTTGCCACAGAGACCAGGCACCTTGATAAACCGTCTCTCAAAATGCCGTCGAAACGCCTTGCACTTGTCTTTGGTCGACCTAAGTGTTTGCCCCTCCGGAGTATCGACCTCCCGAATGTATCGATTGTTACAAATTCATGACGGTCGTCTTCGAGTATAGAATCCAGAGGTTAGCAGTGAATATTTCGCAGACAGTAGGAAAGCGTAGTTCAGGTTCGCAGTGGATATCGCAGCAAAGTAGCAGAGCGTAGTTCTTCCTTCTGTCATATTTGCCTGTCAAGTTGGCACTGGTCATTCCGGTAGGATAAACAATATCTTTATACACGCCGGATACAGTGTTCGGCTGCTTCTGATTGGTTAACCTTCTATTGGTGGACTATAAAGAGAATTAAGTCATTTTCACTAACTCACTAGTCATATATATATATATATATATACACACAAAAAACTGTAACATCGATCTCTTCCTTGCGCAATTCTGCGCCAATATTCACCGCTTCGTTAGACATCTTGTTTAACCTATGCTTATCTACCTTACCTTGGTATCGCTTGCTAGCCTCCCGTTCCAGACCCTGCCTGGCTAAACCTATATCTAGGGAATCCCCGCCAACCTCTGCCCAGGACATAATATCCTTAAGACACTTCACCTTGTTAGTCATATCTAGGACAATATATTCAGCGGTGAAATATATTCTTAAGTTTCTCCCACCACTTATTTCTCGTGGCTGGAACTCCCGCCTGTTCAGTAAAGACAGATTGAACTTCTAGTGTCCAGTCATTCTAGGCATAACACCTAAGAGCATCCGAGCACAGACGAGTCTATGATTTGAATCGTCTAAACGGTGGAACGTGGGACAACCTAGCAAATCTAGATCCTTCTCACTAACATTCTATCAAGGTAACTGGCTACCCGGATAGATGGTCATTTAGGATCCCATGTCCAAATCTCCTGCCTTAGATGACCGACTCAACATAGCTACGATCATCCGACCTCCTGCTAGATCCCCTCTCCCTGTCTAATTTGGGGTTCAGGACAGCATCCAGTCCCCCACTAAGTGCGACGAATCCAACAGGAACAGTACCAACCGATGGAAAAAGGCGGCACGATCCTTGGGCACATAAACTGCAACGATCTGCACTGAACTATTTTTCACGGCAATATCGGTCACAATCAACCCCTCTCCTCCGAAATAGGTAAGGACAAGGTCCACCTTCGCATCCAGGGTACGTTTAATCAGAAAGAAAATGGTCAGCTAGCCCCCGTATGCTGAATAGATGACAGAGTCGCTAATCAATACACGAACCTCAACGTCGCAAACAAAGTGTCTCCTGGATCACGGTCCCATCTATACCGAAGGATAAGAGATCACCAAGCAGACTGAAAGCCTTACTCCGATTTCCCAGGCCTCTCACATTCAAGCTCGCTATCTTGATAAACATTTTAGGATTTTATCCCTTTAAACACAGACTGGACGGAAATATGCTGGTCAAAAGAACCCCAACGGATTAACCCAGCTTCCTAACCATTTCCGATGTAATTCATTCTTCCAGGACAATCCTGCCGACGTCCGTTGGATATATTAATTTTAGGGCCCTATATAGTGTGGGGTGGAGAATAATCTGCACATAGCTTGGCTATTCTTTTAAAAATCTTATGACTCCATCTCCGCCATCCGAATTTTCGGGAATGTCTTTTTGGCGGCAACAGTAAAGTCCCACACTTTCAGGATTCCGCCAGAATGTCTAATTAAAGTAATTAATCCCGGGGCAACTGGGAAGTTTGAAGGAAGTTTACATCCCGTCAACGGAGGTCAATTTAAATCGCGTCTTCAAGTGGGTCTTCCCCTGCGAGGAGAGGTCCTTCTGCAGATCCTGTCTGTCATTTAGACACATATCCCGACCCCTGGTCTTACACTACGCCGTGAGTTCTGCTCTTGCTGGCGAATCAGGGGCAGATTGGGTTTTGGCTTTAACCATGGTCTTCATAGTCCTGCTCCGTCCAACCCGCCTTTCCTTTTTTTATAGTCTTTTCCGCCTCAGTCACGTCCTCCTCGCTCCCTCTTTTCATGTACTTCCATGTACAGGTATAATGTGACAATTTCACCTCCTCCTGGTGCAGTTGCTGTTCGAGATGCTGCTGTTACAGCTGCTGCTCCTCGTCTGAAGAAAAGCTGTTGCCGTTCGTGTAGTTTCCGCCGCTAGTGATGTTTAAGCTGCTCCGGCTGCTGCTGCTGCTGCTAGAGCTGCTGCTGCTGCTAGAGCTGCTTCGGCTACCACTGCTGTTGCTGCTCCGGTTATCGCTGCTACAGCTTTTGTTTCTTGTTCGGTTTCGCAGCCTTCTCGTTTGGGACATCCTTCTGGTTGTGCGGAGTTGGATGCCCTTCTCATCACCTCAGTTCATTCACCGAGACCTTTTTGGGTCCGGGTTCTTTCCGTGACAGAATTTCGAAATAATGTTTCTTCCGCCACAGATCAGCACATTGGAGACCTCTACAAACTTCTTCCGGGTCATTGTGATGATGATTTCAACATCACTGTTAGCAATGCCCTTTTCAGAAAAAAAAAAAATCAAAAAAAAAAAAATCTCAGAGACACTTAACTAGACGATGTCATCTTCCGCTTTAAATTTAGACACCCCAACCTTAACCTGACTTGACGTCTTTGAATGTAACTGAGATATTGATACAAATGATTAACTCTTACGCCCCTTTTCTTTAAACAATTGCTCTAGCCGTTACCATAGTAATTTTAATTTCAATAATGAATATGCTTATAAAACGCGTAAATTTCAGGAATAAGTTATTCAAAAAAAATTTCGCTTGAAGATGGAACAGAGCTTGGTACTTTAATTCAATTTAATTCAAATAATTATATTGAAGTTTTCGGCTCTTGTTTTGAAACATGAGAACTCTTATGTACCCTTGGAATCATATTTTTAAATAAATAATTATATTTATGCTCTACTTGTGTATCGAGCACTATTTAAAAAAAAATAATAACAAAAATGCTAAAGAACGTTGGATTATTTACCTAACGAGTTCTTTCCTATTTTCTATATATTTTTACACACACACACACGCACACACACACACACACACACATATATATATATATATATATATATGGCAGGAAGATCTTAACCTTAATATACACTTTTATATTTACATACGCACTGATCCAGATAGTAAGCACTTTTACTAATAGCATGCCATAAAAGACTATTTTATCACATATATATATATATATATATATATATATATATATATATATGATTGTGCGTGTGTGTTTGCAGATATTTTGATTTCGTAATAGAACAAATAAGAAAAGTAACTTTTGAGGTTTAGACTGGAAATTAATTTTCACTAAGAGAGAAATTGATATCCGATTCAAGCAAACGTGAAAAATTTGAGTGTATTTTGTGCCAATAACCTTTGAGAATTTCTTGTTGGCACGTTCATAGAAACGCAAATAATAAATTGAAGCCATTAGAAAACAGCATTTATACGATGTGGTATTTGTTTTGTTTTTGTCAAATTTTGTTTGCAATTATGGCCGAAAAAAACAGTACCAAGTACAATGTCAGAAACGATGAACGAAAAAAAAAGTTTGAAAAAGTAAATGAATAAGTAACAATAAATAAAAAGATAAGCAAACGATGGGAAAAGAATCATATTTTTTTATCTACATGGAGAGATATACGCAACAGTATACGTACTAGTCCTTATATGTGTAGACTTATAAACACAAACGTACCTACGTATTATCACATGCACACACATACGTAAAATGGTGAACGGTATTTACTTGCAAATATTTACAATTGCAGGTGAGGTCGGTAGGATTATTAACATCAAATGTTTATTTTAACATGTTTTTATTATTTTCAGATGTTGCGATGTTAATTTACCAATATAATATATAGAGAATCATATCTGTATGTCTCACTTTTAGTCTGTTTCTCTGCCTCGGTCATTTCATATCTATCTATCTATCTATCTATCTATCTATCTATCTATCATTATATGTTCATTATCTATCTATCTATCTATCTATCTATCTATCTAATCTATCTATCTATCATTATATGTTCATTATCTATCTATCTATCTATCTATCTATCTATCTATCTATCTATCTATCCCAGTCAGCTCATTATCTATCTATCTATCTATCTATCTATCTATCTATCTATCTATCTATCTATCATTATATGTTCATTATCTATCTATCTATCTATCTATCATTACATGTTCACTATCTATCTATCTATCATTATATGTTCATTATCTATCTATCTATCTATCTATCTATCTATCTATCTATCTATCTATCTCAGTCTGTTCATATCTATCTATCTATCTATCTATCTATCTATCTATCTATCTATCTATCTATCTCAGTCTGTTCATATCTATCTATCTATCTATCTATCTATCTATCTATCTATCTATCTATCTATCATTATATGTTCATTATCTATCTATCTATCTATCTATCTATCTATCTATCTATCTATCTATCTATCTATCTCAACGTACTCATCCTTATATTAAGTTCTCCTTAACCTATACTTACATATTCATATATAAGTATATAAAGTATAAACTCATATATAAGTATATAATGTATATTTGTATGTTTGTATCTACGAATAGGTGCTCGGGAGCTACACTGTAACAGTAGTGATTTGGCAAACTGTCCTTGACTACTGTAGTTGGCGGGCGAGTTGGCAAAATGATTTTTAAAATTAGAATCCCCAAATGATCGACAACCTCCGCATTCCTACCTAATAATATCAGTGCCCGCCCACCATGTTATTTTAAAATCAGAACTCACAAAGTTATGTAAATCTCTGTTCAATTTAACTATTATCACCATTATTCTATATACACCCTCCTACTTTCAATATCTAATTTTCAGGTCGCTGTTAACAACTCATTTGCATATGGTGATGCTAATGATGGCTACTTGCATTATTTACATTATTCGGAGTATTATCCTCATCTTCATTGTCCTATTCACGACGCTTCGGCCGTTATACGCTCCGGCCTTCTTCAGTTGATTTTAATTTCGAACCGAACTATTTACTTCGTCCACCGGGATAGATTGTTCTAGTTCCACGTGTCATGCCTCTTCCGGATGACAGAGTTATTTCCCTTTAACTCAACTCTCCAAGGTTTGGCTCACTATTTCTGTCGCCTGCTATTGAACTCACAACTCTTTGGGTCTAGTCCTCTAGCACACATGGTCCAGTGGATAAAGACATAGGTAAGATTCAGTACCGAAACGTTGTGAATATGGCAATGAAGATGAGGATAACACATCGAATAATGTAAATAATTCAAGTAATCATAATACCTCATCTCAGAGATATAGAGGACGAAACGTTGTGAATATGGCAATGAAGAAGAGGATATCAGTCCGAATAATGTAAATAATTCAAGTAATCATAATACCTCATCTCAGAGATATAGACAGCTTATGCTGACATTGACCGGTTTCTGAGAGAAACGATTCGAAATTCATTGATCGAACAGTTAGCATCATTTTAAAATGTTTTTCTTAAAGCAATGTTTCAGGAAATTAGATTTCTCAAGTCTACTGTTATCGGGCTTTATAGTATTGAGTTTCCATCCAAACCTTTTGCTTTGGGTTGTGGAGAAAACAAACACCTTGATTATTATTATTACTATTTTCTCTCCAGATTAAACTTTTCGAAAACTTTCGTAAACCACTCTTCCATACACCCTTTCTGTTCATAGTAATAATGAAGTAAGAATAAAATATCTTTCATAGTGATCTTTGACTGAAGACAGTCTTTTATTATACGTACGTGCCTGAGATAATCCCTAGAGCTAAATATAAGAAAATCGTATATGCTTATTTCTCGATAATATTGCTAGCCTTAATTCAATGAACTAACTTGCAACAAGGCTCTTGTTAGTTAATTGCAGAGTCGGTTGGTCCTAGCAGTATTGAAAATCAATACCATTGGTTGCCACAAATGGAGTTGATAACCAATTATACGTCAAGATAAAATTTTTTCGCTAATCTATTCCTATCCTTTATTCGTTTTCATTCACGTTTTCCTGATGAAGTTCCCGCAAAATCTTCCAGAATCAAAAATGTTTTACACAAATCGCAGTAAATTTGTTATTACTTATTTAGATATTACTATACACTTATTTATTCGAGCTGTTGTTGGGCGCATCATTTTGGTTTTGTAGCGTATAAGATAGAGTTAGAGCAATATTGGTGCTCGTGGGAGGTTTCTCGAACAGGAAATATATATTATTCTATATATTTGTTTATTAGCCGATTCATGTATTGTGTGAAGACTGAAGGATTTTTTTTCATGAAATTAAACTAAAACCGGCTGTTAAAAGGTGTAAAGAATGATTTATTAATTTTAAAGCCTTCAAAAGAAAACTGCTATTTATTAATCATCTGACACTTTTCGGCCTTCAATCAGCATGGCTGATGCTAACATACAGGAAAATGATTACATGCAACTTCCAGAAGAAAAAAAAACATTACTTGTATATAGTACAACCGGTCATGGAAAATATATGATTTTTAACTACATCAAAAATTACCTGTGTATAGTGCAACCAATAATCGAAAATGCATAATTTTTAACCAGTTCAAAAAATTACTTGTGTATAGTGCAACCGGTCATCGATTATGAATGAATTTTAACCACTTCAAAAAATGACCAAAGTGCAACGGGTTATGGAAAATATATGATTTTTAATCAGTTCGAAACAGTACATGTGTATAGTGCAAGCAACCATCGAAAATGCATGATTTTAACGACCTCAAAAAATGACCTTTGTATAGTGAAACCGGTCATCAAAAATGCATGAATTTTAACCACTTCAAAAAATGACCTAAGTGCAAAATGGAAAATATATGATTTTTAGCCACTTCATAACATTACCTGTTTATAGTACAAGTGGTCATCTAAAATTTATTATTTTTAACCACTTCATAACATTACCTGTTTATAATACAAGTGGTCATCCAAAATTTATTATTTTAACCACTTTAAAAGATCTACCTGTGTATAGTGCGATTCACTATTTTTTACTTAAAATAACTAAAATATTCGGCCTATACCGGATTACATGCAAGAAATTAAAAGCTATTTTGTACAATTAACAGCATCTTTATTACTTTAATTAATTAGAAAGGAAGAATATAAATGGGTTCAACGAAAGCTCTCTATAGATATATTTTCTTTTCGTAAGTACGTGAGACATGCATATGAGAAGAGTTATTTTTTTGTGTTGATAGAATTATGAGAGATGTCTGTGGGTAATCAAATAAACGTTTGTATATTACATACTATGCTGTGCTATGTTCAATGCGACATGGGATTTGAGGAGTAGTGAAATGTTTCCCAGGGGTTAACAAGACTCGTCCTACTTCTAAAATTGACTAAAAGAGAAACAAAAAGCGATGAAAGATGTACTTTTTCTTACATGCTGCTTTTGACTGCAGCATCAAGAAGTCATTTAGAGGAATTATTTGACAGACAAGTGGGATAATCCAACATGTGTCACAGTAACAACTTGATATAATGGAATATGCGTACACCTGTGTTCCCCCTAACTGGAATATGATTGGCTGGTGTCCGTCATAAATACCGACGGACGTGTAGGTACGCAGAGTCAAAGAGCCTTAGTCTGAGAGCTAAGTCTATAAAGACGCCTATTGGACTACGCCATTGATCTACACTTCTTACCTGTGACTACGACGCGTACCAGTCGATTACTGCTACCGTATTCTACTTGGTTATTGTAGCCAAAACCACTTAGCTACTTCGTTCAAATATATCCCTTTCTGGGACATATCACAACTTTTCACCTATTCTGTTCTACGGTATTCTTCAGGTGTTTGTGGATATTTTGAAAATTTCGTACTGGACACTTTAATTATTCCATGCGATAGACGGTTGTGAAATATTTGCCAAGAGACAAAAGGAGACCACTAGAATTAAATTTCACATAGAATTTGGTCACAACTTCAAAGGCTTGTTTCTGGGATACCGATTGATAGTTTAGAAATATCTAATTTAAATATTGTAACAAATCAATAAAAATAAAATCGAAGTACCAAGACAGTTTATAAAAAATATCGTTGTCGCGTTCCAGTTCATTGTTTACATGATTTTAATCGGATTTATAACGAATATTGTACTGCTAATATTTTATAAACGAATTTCGTAGGCATATGAACTTGACTTATGCATCGTAAAACCTAAATTGAATTTGAGATTTATCACCGTGGGATTCACTAGACAAACAGTAAATTCGAAAAATATAAATAAAACTTTCATGTTTGTTGTGTTTTTTTGTTTGTTTCATATTTATTACATTAGAATAAGTTAATTTGATCGATTCTGGATATTCCTGAATTTTGGACAGTCTTTAGTTTCCATCCCATAAAACTAGATTCAAATTCCATGACTTCTTTGAGTCTGTAAATCTGTTATCACCAGCTAAATGCAATTAGCATCAATCAAATGCATCTTGAAACATTACTTAACCTCACTGCGTCTAAAATAAGAAAACGGTTGCCCATCAAAGACAAATACATCAAGCAACTTGTACGTCTTGATATAAATTAAATAGCAAGAAATTAAAAAAAAACGTTTGTCTGTTGAACAATGGCAGCTACGAAAGGAGTCCCCCCCTCTCTCTCTCTCTCTCTCTCTTGGAGGTTAGCAACTATTACTTGCACCTTATCGGGTTAATGGTTCACTATGATATAATTCAACTGCTAGGAAAGTTGTTTCACTGCCGTGCTAGACAATTTTCAGCGCCAAAATCAATTTTGTATATTTATAAGTCGACGATGTTTTGAATATTACTGCCACATAGGGTTTGGTGCTCCTCTTATATATTAGAGATTCTTGATAAAATCTGAAGTAGAATTTGCAATATTATCAATCCTGACCTGGCATCTCAGCTTCAGTCATTTTCTCACCGCTATAAGGTAGATTCTCCGTGTCGTTTCTATAAATACTTTCATGCTAATTATTCTGAAAGCTTTCCTCTTTAGTACCCAGACTTTATGAATGTAAGTGTACTTTTAGATCAGCAGAAAGGTCTCGTCATTTTACAGTTGAAATGGTTAGATGTAACCGTAAGTTCTATGCTAACAGTTTCTTCTCTCGCATTTCTTGCTCCCAGAACTCTCTTCTGCCTTCTTGCTTCCAAGTTAACTTTGTTCTTTAAAAAATGACATGTCAATCGTCATTTTCTGTCTTTTTTTAATACTTGTTCTTTTATTGTTCTCTCTTCTTGATAGTGCTTTTAATTATATTCTCTCACGCTCAATAATCCATTGCGTCTTAGTGGCTTTATTGCCTTGCTTGGAATGAAAGGATTAAAATAAAATATGGCACAGAGCCTACGAAGTGGTGAAGTCGATGTGAGGGTAGATCTAGTCATATTTCAGTAGCGTCCATAACTGCGTTGTGTGGATGCAGGAAATGTAGTTCTTCAACATGTTCCAAAATTGGCGAGGTTAAAGCCAAGTAGAATCA